TCTGTTAAATAAACATTCATTCAATTTTATATTCAAGACACCACTATAACTTATTTACACAGTCATGGATAGTTTAATATAGCTCTTCTTTATAACACAGGCAGTCCTTGTTTAATGACCACTTGTTCAACAACTGCTCAAACTTGTTACAGCAGTAAATCATACTTACAACTAGTCCTCAGAATTCCAGCAGTGCCTGGTTTCCGGTTTGCGAGGCTTCGGCAGCGGCAGGGATTTGCGATCCAGCGCGATCCCTGCCGAGCTCACTGGCAAGGTTCCCCCGATCCGTTTGGATCTGGGGGATATAGCTGCCCTGCAGGGGCAGCTGAAGACAGGGGGGATCTGGAAAGGGGGTAGGGGGTGTCGCAGACCCCCTCCCCAGCCAGCAAAACCCCCTTTTCCCGAGGCGGAGGAGCGGTGGTCAGCAATGGCCGCCATGAAGAAACCTGCAAATGGATAAGATTGTGCAGGAGGAAGAAAATCGGGGAAATCGTGAGAGTTGTTTCTGGACCGGGATAAAGTTGCCAAGGGATAAGAAAGTTTCCTGCGGCTTGAAAATTGCTACGGAGAAGTTGTTACATTGTTTCCAGAGAGAGTTACAAGCGGCGCACAGAATTCTAAAAGGGAAAGTTTTTTTTCCCCCCTTCACTCTCCTTCCTAACGTGACAGCGGATGGAACGACAAAAGAAATCTGAAAATCTAGGTAATTAAATACTGAAGAGATAAGGATTTCTGAATGTTTTTTTTTTAAAAAAGACTTAAAAATAATTTTTTTTGCTGTGAGTGGGAAGGGAGAGGGAAAAATTGGATTAGAATTTGAAAATAAGGAGAAGACTGCCTGAATTTTTAAAGAGCTATAAATACTAATAAGGCTTCTGAGAGATATATATTAAATGGAACTTTGTGATCAAACTCCAATCCCAGAAAGAGAAAATGAAGGAGAAAGTGCTTAAAAGGATTAACCTACTTGGATTGCTTGGTGATTTTACCACTTTTGAGAATTATCTCTGATTAAAAGCACTTGGGTGGTTGCTTGGGAAAACTTTTTCTCTTTATAATGGCATTACTTGTGGACAGATTGAAACTTTTATATCAAAAATATGAAAAAGAAAAGCAAGAAGGGAAGGACGTTTTTGATACTCTTTTTCAGTATTTAGAAATGGCGGTCTACATTTATGTAAAATTGAATGGACAACAGGACAACTGGGATAAAGAAGAAACCATTTTTGATGAACAAGTGACTTTGGCTGGGGAAGGAAAGGAGAAAGAGAAAAAGGAAAAAGAGACTTTAAGACCTATAAAAGCAATCAAAAAAGAGAAAAACAAGATGAAAAAGAGATATTATGTTAGAAGACAACAGAAAGGAGGAAAGCAGAGAAAAAGGGAGGTGGAGAAGCAAAGGGGTAAAGAGGACAGAGAGAAGAATAAGCAAGGGAGAAAGGGGACGAGAAGCCTCAATAGTAGAGAGCAAGATGTAAAGAAACAGAAGTTTTTTAGAGATAATGGGTAAACTTAATTGATAAAGGGATTCTAAAGGTACATAAGATTGTTTTTTAAATTTGTATTTAGAAATAATTTTAGAAAGTTGGAAATAATGTGTAATTTAAAGTGTGATAAAATGTTTAATATAACTTAGTGAAATTTGTCTTAAGAAAAGGGGAACATTTCATGAAATAAGGATTTGAGATATGATGGGGGGGGGGGAATAATTGTGGAAAATATAAGTATTCCCAAAAGGCATGTTATTTAATTGAAATGGATAAAATGGTTAAGATATAAAGGAGTTGGAGAGAAAGATACAAATGAATGTCAATATTAATTAGATTGTGTTATTTCAGTTGAATTTTTTTTTTTGAAAGGAGAGATTTGAAGTAGGAGAAGCAGGAATACCTTAATGAAATAATGATTTAAAATATGTGATGTGGGGGGGGGAATAATTATGGAAAGTAGGTGCTCCCACAAAAGTATGTTAATTGAAAAGTAATGTGCTAAGTGTTTATGATATAAAAGAATATGAATATTAATGAATAGATTAGTATTGGTATTGATAATATTGTATAAATTTAGAATGTACCAAATAGAATCCCAATGTAAGTTAGGTATTTTATATTAAGTATTATAAATGTAGGGGAAAGAGGTAAAGGCGTCATACTCCAATTAGTGTACAGGAGAAGCTTTTTTTTTAAAGAAGAAAGATAAAACGATAGCTGGAAATAAACAGACAAAGAATAATAAATATTATGATTTGAATTGAGATGAGATAAATAAAATAAAATTAAGAGAATCTAAGAGAGAGAAGAAGCTATATAAAAAATTGAAAATGGTAATAAGATATGGAATGGCATATAAAATGAATATGAATTTGAGTTGGTGTCTGTACAAAGAGTTTTGACCCGGGATTAAGCAACTTTCAGAAAAGATGTTTTTTTTTTTATGTTTATATGTTTTGTGTTCTTATGTGTTTATGTTTGAATGAGCTAATAAAACCTTGGAGAAAGGTTAGAAAAGGACAATGGAGAGAAAGATAGAAGAAAATAAAGCAAGTTAGAAAGGGAAAATATGTGATTGTAAGGAAATGTGTTAATGTAAAACTTTCAAATAATTTTTAGAAATTTTTAGAAAAAAGGTTTTATGTTTATCTTGTATGTTTTGTATGCTTTTAAAAATTAATAAAATTTGTTTAAAAAAAAAAAGAATTCCAGCAGTGCCTGAGGTCATGTGATTATGATCCAAGCAGTTGACCATCACATTATGCTGCAATCACATAATCATGATTTCCAACCTTCCCTACCAGCTTTCCCCAAGTAAAGTCAATGGGGAAGCCAGCAAGAAGTCAAAATATGTGATCATGTGAAATCCTCACTTAACAACTTGCAGTGATTTGCTTAATGACAGTAACTGGGGATTTCTATAACTTATGTTACTAACCATAGTGGTCACATGACATTGCTCTTCACAACCATATTGCTTAGCAATGGAAATTTATGTCTTAGTTACCATTGCTAAGCCGAGACTACTTGTATAATTGAATTCCAACATTGTTAATTATGACTTTCTTAACCATGCTTCCTTGAATGGTTGGATTTGTACAATAGTCTAAGCCACAAATGCTTAGAATAGACCAATTGATTCTAAAAGGCATCATTAATCTATAAAGAAAACATTAATTTTTAATAGGAATAAAATAACTAGTGGATAAGAAACTGTTTGGAATAAACTATAAAAAAGCAAATCTCAACTTCTTATGCTTACTGAAATATAGCAATAGCACTTAGATTTATATACCACTTTATAGTGCTTTACAGCCTTCTCAAAGTGGTTTACAGAGTCAGCATATTGCCCACAACAATTTGGGTCCTCATTTTACACACCTCGGAAGGATGGAAGGTTCAGTCAACCTTGAGCTTGGTGAGATTCGATCTGCCAAATTGCGGTAGGAGTAGCTTGCAGTACTGCACTCTAACCACTGCACCACCGAGGTTCCTTATACCCTGTTTCTCCAACAATACGGCCTCCCCCAATAGGAAGTCCCAGCATGTTGAATAGGCATGAAATGAAATTAAGCCCCTCCCCCCAAATTAAGGCCTATATTAAAACATGCGAAATGGGGGGGAATGGTGGTGGGGGGCTTGCCATTAGGAAGTACTTTTGTTGCACACCCGGATATGGTGCTGCCTGCGTTGACCCCAATACGAAGTGCCCCACCAATGCCGAGGTCAACATCCAAGCCATCGCTGCCCGCCCGCCCGAAGATGCAGGGGGGGGGGAATTAAGTCACCCCCGAAAAGACGGCCTAGCCATTTTTTCGAGGCTAAAAAAAAAATAAGACCCGGCCTTATTATATGAGAAACACGGTATATATTATAATGAAATATCATAACATTAATCTGGTATGTCTATTGCTCATTATGCATTAGAATTATTTCAGGCTAGTTTTATTTTTGACATAATACCAGAGGTGGTATTCAGCAGGTTCTGACCAGTTCTGGAAAACCGGTAGTGGAAATTTTGAGTAGTTCAGAAAATCAGCAAATACCACCTCTGACTGGAGATTTTACAGTATATTCTTCCCCTGGCACGCCCACCAAGCCACGCCCACAGAACCTGTAGTAAAAAAAATTGAATCCCACCACTGCATAATACATTATGTGAGTTATATATTAATTGAAAATTGTATAGGTAAATAAGTAAGTTTGTAGACTGTTTTGATAGAAGTTGAGTAACTCCATGGCAAGATATGTGGCAAATATATTTTACAAATAAATAGAAGTTGTGGGTCTGCTTGCCTCTGCTACTGGGCAGTTTCCATTTGTTTTAATGGAGCTCCTGAGGAGGAACTGAGTACCGGTAATTTGTAGATATATCTCCTAGCTGTTTACAGAAATTCATACTTTCCAGAATTCAGAGATTACAAATAGGAACACATCTGAGGACATCTAACACCACTTCTGAACATCTCTGAGCACTCTTTTTCTCAAGTCCATTATTTTAAATTGCTTCTGCAGGCCTTCTCTTAAAAAAAACAATGCACTGATTTACTATTCAAGAAGTGTGAAGATCAGGCCCCTGACACTGAATTTACTTTTGAATATACATGCATAGATCTACACTGTCCTTATTATAATGAAGATCAACAAAGGACTTTCTGTCAGCCACAACAGAAGTATAATTCACAAATGCCCTAAAATGATTGGAAAAAAATGGATCTAAAGATCATAAGCCAGTTTAATCTTATTTTAGTTGTCAGGAAATGGTTTGGACACTAAAGGTACTATCCTTTCAGTGTTTACTTAGCTTGAGAATGTTGTGGGATTTACCCTGAATAAACACTCCTAGACTCTCTCTGGCCATCTTGAGTTTTATTTATTTATTTTACTTCATTTTATTTGTCAATTGCTTACAAGATAATACATGTAAGTATAAATATGAGTAAGAATACAGGAAATAGGTACCAATAAATGGGGATAATAGGACAGGTGCACTTATGCACGCCTCTTTCATCCTAACTCTCCCAACGAAAACCAATTTTTTTCAGTCCAGCCCGTCCTCTGAAACCCAGGCCGTGTATTTACGGTTGCCGCTCTAACTGGAGCCGTTCCGAAGAATCCTGCCCGGAGAAACAGGTCGCGTTGATAAAACATTTCTTAAGGCCGAATTCAGGGACAGAGCGGTGGCTCCGATCCAGACGGGCTTTCGGGGAAATCCGACTCTCCGGGATTTGTCGCGTAGCGAGAGGGCGGGGCCAGGCCGGGCTTAGCTCGGGGAAGTTGCTGAAGTTGGAGCGAGCGAGGGCTGAGCCTGGCAAGCGCTTTACTCGGGCGGCCGGGGCCTCGCCGTGGGTGTCTTCGCGGGGGCTTCTCCTTTCGGCTCGGGCGGTGCATGATGGAAGAAGGAGCATGGCCACTCATTTCTCCCTGACCCAGGTAGGAGCTTCCTGGTGAGGAAAAGGCGCGGCCGGGGCTCATCTCTGGGGAAGCAGAAAAAGAAGAAGGCGGGCAAGCCAGGCGCCGAGCTGGCCTCCTCTCGCGAGGAGCAGCGGGGGTCTCGCTTGCCAAGCGCTGGCGTAGAATCGCCTTCTCGCAACGTCGTCGTCCGCTACTCCCCCCGAGCTCTTTCCACTGTCACGTCTCCCGCTCCTTATCCGGGCTGCTGGGCTTCCGCCCGGCTCTTTCCCCGTTCGCACGTTTCTCTTGCCCTCCCCCGCGAGCGTTAAATGCTTGCATCGTTGGCTGCGACGTGCGGTACCTTTTTCTCTTTCCCGCTGTTTCCCCCCCGCCCCGTAACTCGACCTAGTCGTTTCTTCCCCTCGTTCGCCTTCCTCAATCTCTTCCCCCACCTAAGTCGGCTTGTAGTCGGAGAACCGAGCGAGCCTCCCTCTTTGACGGTGTCGTGTGGACGCGCCTTTTGCCCATCACCCCTTTCAGGCCCGTCCTCCCCGGCTGCTTGAAGCTGAAGCCGACCTTCCCAAAAGCGCTGCGCTTCGTGCCCCCTCCAAACATCGGCTCCTTAAAGGGGCGGAGAGGGATTCCTCTCTGCAATTCCAAAGCGGGCGTTTATTTCTCTTTCTTTTCCGGCGTCGCTGCTGTATGGGTGTTAACCGTATCCCGTGTGCTCTGTCTGGGTTATTACTATTTTTTAAATGGGTATTTCAGTGGTATGCAGTTTCGGAGTCTTCGTGAGCTTTTCCAGTCCAGGGACTGGCATTTCTGGCAACTGGATATTGCTATATTTCCTTCATATTCCATAGTCCATGTGATTGCTTTTTAGTTTGTGATCTGTACTTATCAATTCCTTCAGTTTCTTAGGGAGAGGCACACTCATCTTTAGGCCCATGTATTTCTTTTCCACTTAGGCTTTTGGTATGATTTCTGGGGTTAAAAATGTTATATATTACTCAGAAAGCATCTCATAAACAACAGAGGTATGTTAAATAATAAATCAATGGAAGGGGAAACTTGACTTCCTAATTGTAATTGGAGGACAGTAGCTTATTTTTCAAGGATTCTGTAATGGCAGGCAAGAACAAACACTTCTTTTTAATTATTACTTTTGATTATAATTATTCTAGATGCTATTGGGTAATACAAAACTTCTGAGGGAAAATTCCAAATTGGGTTTCTAATTGAAATTGAGTATATGAATGTTTACTTTATATGCACAGAAATGAATCATGCATTTCAGAGCGGCTGATATATGAACACTTAACTTTTAGAACAAGAGTTCTAAAAGTTTGTATTTACTACATGAATCCATAGTTCTTGGAGTCTTCAGTTTATGTCAGATTTATACTCCATCCTCACTGTGGGTGTAAGCAATCAAGGCAGTTTATATAAGATCACATAAGTTAGATGTTAAGGTGAATTGTTTATTTGAAAAGCTGCTTCACAGTGTTTATCATTAGGAGCTAGCACATGGAGCAATCCAATGAAATTTGAAACTGCTACTCTAACTTGAGAGTCAGTTGGGTGTAGTACAGGGGTTTCCAAACTTGGCAATTTTAACACTTGTGGACTTCAACTCCCAGAATTCCTATGGCTGGTTGAGGAATTTTGGCAGTTGAAGTCCATAAGTCAAACTTGCCAAGTTTGGAGACCCCCTGGCATAGTGGTTGATGCATCAGGCTAAAACTGTGAAACTGTGATTCTCAAAACCAGTTGGGTGATTTGGAGCTTGTCACTTTCTCTTAGCCTTAGAAAAGAGGTAATCTAATAATCTATATTCATTCCCACTTCATCAACATGGTAAAAGCTCTTTCCAGTTAAAACAAACTCCTAGTTTGTTCTGTGCAGTTTTCTGCCATCTGTGCAGTTTTCTTATACACAAGTGTAGTCCTCCCCCCTTCAGTTCAATCAGATTCAGTTCAATCAGTTCAGTTCAATCAGATGATTCTCCATTACTGCCTGGGCAAGTCCCTGCAGTTTTCTTGGCAATGTTTTTCAGAAGTGGTTTGCTATTATATTTTCCAGTTTTGATGACATATTTAACATGAAATGCTTTAATATATACTTTGGCATTTCACAATATGTTTAGTTTGTTCATTGCAGTGATGCAAAACTAAAAATAATAGAAAACGGGCAAATATTTTAACTATATAAAACTTCTGGATTTTGTACTGCAATTTTATAATTGCCTGTCAGGCAAGTGAAGCATATATATATCAGAAGAAGAAGAAATCAGCTATGGCAGCATTATACATTGTCTAAAGACTTGGAAAGCAGTTTCAAAACTAGAAACTTTAGAAATTTGGTTATGAGTTAAATATTACTGGTAGTTGTATTTCCAGAGCAATATATTCAATGATGAGTCAGATTTATAGTCTACTCTTAGACTTCCTTGAAGTATCAAGAAAGGAATGTTGCAGAGGGCTGTCTCCTGAAACTCTTAGTTACCCAAATTGCAAATGTTATTAATTTAATTCCTACCTTTAGTTCTGCTGGGAGCATGATAAGTCATCACTCTTCAGTAATGTTTTATTAAAAATTGGTTTACATAAATAAACTATGTAACAGCAGAATTATTACTGCAGGTAAAGAAGGGCTCTAACATTTTAATATGTATTTTCTTCAATCGTTTCTGTTTTTGAACAAATTGAAATAAATGACCATCAGCTAAAGTTTTTATCTTTCTAAAGATAAAAACTTTGTTTCATTTGATCATATCCTAACTTAGCAATTCAGTGCTTCATAAGTTTATTTTATTGAATATTAATAACAATACAAGTTAAATATGTAATACCTAATAATTTTACAGGGATACATTTTAGGAGAGGGAATATTGTTGGCAACATTCAATAATATTACTACAAGGATACGTTTTAAGAGAGGGGATATTGTTAGTAGCAAAAAGCTGCCACTAAAATAAAATGTGAAAAAGTAAAGCTTGAGAAGAATAAATAAAAATTGAAACATTAAGTAAAAAGAAGAAGAGGAGAAAGTGCTTGCGATTTTGAGACTTTGGGCCCTGATATGCTGCCCAAAATCTGGTGTGACTCCTTGACCTACAAGAAATTAGCATCTGTTTGAGGTAAAGAATTGTTTTGGTGACATTTTAGAGCAAACATAATTTGTGTTAGTGTAGCAAAACCAATTGTTCAGACAAATAATATGCACATAATCATTCTGCAAGGGAGAGGTAACTACAGCCAAGTTACACCATCATTGCAAGCATTTAATTACTTGCCAATAGGCTTCAAAGGGCCATGCAAAGTGCTAATTTCAATATGTAAAGCTTTGCATCATTTGGATTTTTTTTTAGAATAGAATAGAATTCTTTATTGGCCAAGTGTGATTGGGCACACAAGGAATTTGTCTTTGGTGCATATGCTCTCAATGTACATAAAGGAAAAAAATACATTCATCAAGAATCATAAGATACATTACAATTCCTCAGCCAGCGCATGCCAGCACATGCAACTTGATGACTTGTGGACTTCAACTCCCAGAATTCCTCAGCCAGTGCATGCAACTTTACGACTTGTGGACTTCAACTTCAAGAATTCTGGAAGTTGAAGTTCACAAGTCGTAAAGTTGCATGCACTGGCTAAGGAATCCTGGGACTTGAAGTCCACAAGTCGTAAAGTTGCCAAGGTTGGAGATCCCTGCTATAGGGCACTGCACACCAGAACAACTGGACACAAGGACAGGTTTTCCCCGAATACCATCACTCTGTTAAACAACTAATTCCCACAACACTGTCAACTTATTTACTAAGACTATTACTATTATTCCTCTACTACTAGATTATAATACTTCCTAGTACCTATCTCTTCCTACTTATGACTATAACCGTACTGCTTGTATCTTTACAATTTATATTGTTTTGTTTCCTAGTATGATTTGATTGCTTATTAGTAACCTATGACTATCACATAAGTCCACAAGTCGTAAAGTTTCCAAGGTTGGAGACCCCTGCCCTATAGCATCGTTTTGAGTGTAGAAGTTGAAACAATTTATGTCCAGGATGTGAGGGGGCTGTAGATATTTTCACAGCCCTCTTTTTGACTCGTGAAGTGTACTGGTTGTTAGGAATATGGGTCACCTAACAGCTATTTGGGTTAGAAATATATAAACCAGGATAGACATTTTAATACTGTCTCTTTAAGAGCATGCTAAAAACTGCAATTGGGTGTGGTTACTCAAACTGCCATAAGATGGAGCCAGAAACCTGGGTTGTTTTGTCTTAGTTTCAGAAGAGAGTGTGTCTGAGTGAGTCTCTCTGTTTCCTTCTGTTGGAAAGTATTGCTTTTTGACACTGGAATCTGTTATTGAATTATCCCTGGATTGAAAACTTGTGTTTTAACTTGTGTTCCTAATCTGTTTTTTGTGGTGCTGTTTTTGATAGGTTGGGCTTTTTTTTTTCCTTTTGTGTAAAGACAGAAGCAAAAAATCCCCCATTAGTATTGTAATGTACTTCCTACATAACTTAGTTAGCTGACTAGCAAAAAGTTCATCTATTTCCTCTGTTTGGTTGGGTGGCCTATAGTATAGACCTGTGGTAATGTCATTTCTCCCCCTTTAATGTTGACCCAAATGCATTCAACATTGTTCTGGTTGCACCTGTGACAAGACTAGTTATTCAATCTCCCGTCTATATGCAGATTCATCATTGTTTCAAATGAGACCAATCACTGTTGTATCATCTGCAAACTTCAGTACCTTAATGGAGGGATCTTTTGAGATGCAGGCATTGTTATATAGAGAGAACTGGAGAGAGCACACAGCCCTGGGCAGCTCCTGTGCTAATTGTACAGGTATCTTATGTGATTTTGCCTAGCTTCACCTGCTGCTTCCTGTATGTCTGTTTCTAGGTACTTTCAAGACTGACTTCCCACCTGTCCTCTGGTCATCAGGTTAGACTACTCCAGGCTTATGAGGTGAGAAGTATAAGGATCTCAAAGGCAATATTTTTCTTTAATAGGCCCCACCTTATAGAACAGGTTCAAGTTATAGTTAATGTTCCTTTTATTTAAGAAACCTTGAAAACTGCTCTTTTGCAAGATATTTGGAGCCTAATAGTTTGGTTGTGCAGCACTGTGAATTTGTGTTACGTTTCCTGCTTTTTATTATATTATTGTGCTTATTTCATTATATTGATTGTATGATTTATTTATTTTTGAATATTTTTTTTATTTTTATATTTTAAAAAACATCTCTTTTGGTGAACAATGTGGTTCCAGGTTTTTACAATACAATACAAACATGACCATATTTACATATTCCTCTTTCATATTCAATTTCATATCATATTATTACTTATTCCATTTCCCTTCAGCCAGATATTTTAGATCAGGGGTGTCAAACTGGCGGCCCACAGCATGTGCAGGCCATGCCCACCCCAGCTCCATGAATGAGGAAAGGATGTGATGGCAACATGACGCAGCGAGTTTGACACACGTGTTTTAGACCAGGGGTCACCAACCTTTTGGACCTCAGGGATCACCAAACTCATAATTTTAGATCCCAGGGACCACTAACTGGTTCTGTGGGCGTGGCCTAATTTGTGGGTGTGACTTGGTGGTCACGTGACTGGCTGGGCATGGCTTGTATGTAAATATTATAAATATTTATATAAATATTGAATTTTTTATAAAAAAAAGAGCAACTTTTACCCAAAATCAGGCAAAGCAGGCAGATTGAGTTGCTCACAGAATCATTCAGTGATCTATCTATCTGCCATCGGCTAGCTCAGTCTCTCAAATTTGCTTGCCTTGAGTCTGCACTGAATTTGCTTGCAAGCAAACCTTCAGTCCTAAGGGAGGTTCGGCTGTGCTGAGCCGAAGATCTAAAGACTAGCTAGAAAGCAAGAAATCCAACCATTTCCTGCTTCCTAGCTAATCTAAATCTCCTGGCACAGCAGAACAGATGATGGTTGGAAAAAGGAAAAATAGCAATTTAGCAGGCAAGTTTACCGGGTAAGGAGTGAGTGGGTGGGGAGGGTTCTTGCGGGTCATGTGGGCGGCACAGTCTTGTGTTTCTGCGCAGCCTGGATTAATTGCTTTGTGGGGGTGCTCGGGGGGTGAGATTTCTCTGCGGCCCACCAAAATTTTCTCACGGCCCGTTTGGCGACTGCTGTTTTAGACTGTATTTGGCATTTTTAACAAAATTACTGAGTTCTTCCCAAGGACCTGAGATAGGCAAATGTTTTTTAATAATATCAAAGGTACTGTTGTAGGATGTAGGCTGTTCCAAGTAAAGCTGCCTTTTATAATTGACTGACAATAATTCTGTCAATGCCAATAGTGTTCAAATGGTGCTCAACATATTTTGGCATTGTATCCAAGGCACCGATTACAAATAGTATTTTTGCATTTTTTGGCCACAATTATTGTACCTCTATTTGCAGGTGTTTGTATTTTATGTTTTTTTTTCCAATTCTTTCTCTACTATTCTGCTTTCTTCAAGTATTGCAAAACATTTTTGTATTTTTTTATCAATAATTGTTAAGTCTGAAGTACTGTGTGTGGTAAATGCTTGTATGTTTTAATTCTAAAATCCCATCGCACTTTAGCTTCTTCATTTTCTATTACTTTGTCTACTTTGTGAGCCCGCCAGTTAACTGCTTTCAAAGCAAATGGTACTTCTTGCAGATATTGCAATGCACCATTGCTTCTACTTTGTCATGCCATTGTTTGCAGCCAATCTGTGCAATCTTCTTGCAGCAGCTACGTGGGCCACTTTCTCTTCAGCTTTTTTGCATTTTGTTTTCTGTTGCTGTCTTTATTATGGTTGGTTGCACAGTCAGCTAGATGTTTAGACTGAATTTGACATTTTTACCAACCTATCACATCCTTCCCAAGGAACTTGGTAGGTGGATAAAAATGCCAAATCCAATCCAAACATTTTATTACATTAGAGTAATAACTGTCAATGGGGTTCCATTGGGGAAAGGAAAACAACAACCATAAAACAGTGTTTCCCATCCCCATGGAGCCAGCTGAGAATAATACTGTGGTTAATGGTATTGAAAATCACTGAGAGATCAAGGAGCATCAGGACAAATGCATTAGCTCCATCCTGTCTGTCACTTATAAGCATGACCAAAACTGTCTCACTACTAAATCATCCCAGTCTAATAACTAACTGAAATGGATGTAAACAATCCACTTTGTCTGAGTTCTCAACAAGTGTAGACCAACCAGCTTTCCCAGAAAGGGAAGGTTCACTGCTGGATAATAGCTATTGAAAACCATTGGGTTCAAGAATGGCGTCTTCAAGAGGGGTACACCACAGCCTCTTTCAGGACAGGAGGTACCGCCTTTTTCATTAAGGAACTGTCACAACATGAATCCATACATAGATCACTTCCCTGGCTGCTTTTACAACTCAGAAGGGTCTGGATCCAGTTAATGAGCTAAGCACAGATGACAGTACAGAGAACCCCATCCACTTCTTCAGGTTTTTCTGACTCCGACTTATCCCAGATTACCAGATGGTGCCTCAAGAACTTAAGCCTGACTTGCCCAGAGTCCACGTCGGAGTAGAGCTGAGCAATTTATCCAGCAAATAGCCTAGATCAAGGGTGTCAAATTTGTGGCCCACGGGCCAGATGCATCATATGCTGCCCCCACCCCCACCCAGTTTAGCAAAGGAAAAAAGTCCCGATACTTTGTGTGATGCTGCTGTGACGATGTGAGTTTGACACCCCTGGCCTGGATAATCCCAGAAAGGGTTGGGCCACCCCAAGCAGCTCTGCTGGACAGCTATCAGTGGATGCAAAGTGGGCAAAGATGTAGCCAATTCTTGTCTGAAAGGAAGCTAAAAATAATGCAAATATTTATTGCAAGTTGTTCCATAAAAGTTGATGATATATTCAGTTTGTACTGCTAGTACACACTATACAATTAAAATATAATTTTAGCTTCAAGTGATCTACTGCAAGCAGCAAGAGGCGGTTCCTCACATAACTTGGTCCTAAGCCATGTAAGCCTTTAAAGGTCAAAATCAGCACCTGGAATTGAACCTAGAAGCGAACTGGTAACATATGCAGCTCATGGAGCAGAGGCATAATGTGCTCTTCTAGGGATACCTATAACTGCTCACACTGCCACATTTTGTGCCAAGGGGAACTTGTGGATTTTGTTCAAGGATTGCCCCATGTATAGGACATTACAGTACTCTATTTGGAGGTGACTAGGGTGTGAATAACTGAATAGAGCCTCATGATTAAGGAAAGGATGCAACTGGCACACAATATTAAGCTGTGCAAAGATCCTCCTAGCCACAACAGCTTCCTGCTCTTCAATCCCCAGATTGCCCATCAAGTCTATTTTCAGCATAATACTTAGCAATAGCAATGAAAAACAAAATAAGAGAGAATTGTAATTGGACAATTCTGTGTAGCTGGAGTTCTTGAGCCAACATTAGGGGAGCTGAAGATTCTTCTGGTGGTCTGATAAGGTTCTGGAGCAACACCCAATCTACTTGCTTGTTCCCAGCACCTTATTCACAATTATTATTTCTAAGAAGGCTTGGAAGTTTTCTGGAGAAAAGCAGACGGACAGAAAAACCAAACACAGATAGGCACTGCCCCTTTTCTCTGGGTCTGTCTTCCTGCCACTAAATTCTATTCACTGTGTGTAGGTGACCTACAGCTGCTGCCAGTAGCCTAACTGCTGAAAAAGACCAAAGCAATGCTGGCAGCTTCCCACTTACCATAGATGGAAGACTGTGAAGCTGTGATAAAGCTGCTGGGGTGGAACTTTGTCCTGTGAGTGGAACATGGTTGCAGCACTGGTTGCCAATGCCATTTATCCTGTTCAAGGCTACAGCTACAAATGGGCAAGAATGACTAGCATGCTGGCTCACAGAGCTTTTGTTAGTTTAGTTCAACACAATAATGTAAACGGCACTCTGGCTGGAGGTTGTAAGTCAAACAGAATGTACTTGCAAGTCATAAGACTTGTAACTCCTAAGAAGAAACAATAGGGGCCTCCAGAAGTAAACTGGAAATCCACCAGGTTGTATTCTCCAGTTTCAGAGTGTTTTTATGGAAGGTACTTTTATAGACCACCATTGGAACTAATAAGACAGAAGGAATGAGCTGCAGCACTGCAGTTGAGGTACTTGTCAGAAAACTACTGGGAGAGAAATCTTGTATTAGTTCTATTTTTGCGTTTAGGGCAAAAGGTTTAGGAGTTGACTGAGATGGTGAGTGATGATGTGTGAATTTATATGGGAAGTTTCTTCCTTGGAAAGCTCTACAGAGATCCTCTTCAAAAGTTGCTGTGTATTTTTATAATCCTTTTATGGGCACAGTGCCCAGCATCTTTCATTCTTGATCAGATTGGTTGAGACTGCCAGAAGTTGCAGTTCAATAATTTCTGGAGGCCCACAAATCACCAATTAAAATTTAATTATTAAAGATAACCAACTTTTGTATCCAAGTATAAAAAAGCTTTGATATTGCAGCCTTTAGACAAATGAACCAGTTTTAATGTGGCATTTATGATTATTGGAGTTTGAGATCCCTGTTCTAAAGGTTCAAGAATGGTAGCTGTTGAATTGTTGGAACTCAAGTATGTTTTGAAAATGTCTGGTACAAAGTATCTGAAATGTCCATCAGCGTGTAACTAACAACAGCTGTTTACTGTTTGAAAATAGTTCTTGCTTAACAAGCCCAATTGGGACTGGCAACTCCATCACTAAGTGACATGCTTGTTAAGTGAGACCTCATATGACCACAACTTGTGGTTTTACTGCCAGCTTCTTCTTGACTCTGCTTCTCAGAAGCCAGCTGAGAATGATGTCATGTGACTATGAGATGGTTGTATGGTTGTAAATGCCTGCTGGTGCCTGAATCTTGGTCAAATGACCACAGGGATGCTGTGAAGATCTTAAATGCAAGGACCAGTTGTAAAGTTATTTTTCATCACTGTCATAACTTTGGGCATTAAACAAGGCAGTTGTATTGCAGCTACCTACAGCATTTTCTAGCCTTTAGGTCCCGATTAGGAGAAACTTTAAGCAAACATTTTTCATTAAAAAAAACAACAATAACATTTTTGACTTTGAAGTTTGAAAAGAGAAGTGTGGCCTAAGGAATATCATTCAAATAGACAGGAATTTGTTACAGTTTTTCTGAAGTCTAATTCTTTGTATATCTGCTGACTAAAGAGTCTTTGGGATGTTAAAATGAATGTTAAAGTACAGGATGTGAAAGAGCATATGTTTCCTATGCAAAAGTAACAATAGCTTTAAATAAATGTTTTGTTTGAAAATGATGACTTTGCTGTAATTGACCTTAAGATGTGACAATATTAATTGCTGTATTAGGGTAGAGAAGGAGAAACAAAAGGCAAATTTCATACTTGAACCCATTAGGAAAATAATTGAAAGTAGAACTGCTGATACAAAAATGTCCTTACATAAATTTGTGATGAGATTCATTTTTTTTGTATATAGCTCTGACCACTGCATCTTAAAAAGGCTATTATAGCATTAGAAAATAATGGAAAGAAGAAGCAACCAAAATAATTGGATGTCTGAAGCAACTCCTCTATGGGGTTAGACTACAGTAATTGTGGGTTTTGGACTGGAATGAAGATGGATAAAGGAGACAGTGGCTGAAGTTTATACAATCACATAGGACATACTTAAGCTTCAGAGAGGGAGGTTTTGTCTCTAACAAACATAGTGTTAGAATTCAAGGTCATCCACTGAAACTAAATGCAAAGAGATAATGACCTTCATAAATACTTTTTCACATATTATATAATTAATGGTAAACTTTGTAATGTGCTATGTTTGGCCATATAGGAAGATTTTAAAATGTGCAGAATTAGACAATTATTATTGTGAATGTGTTTTTGTGCATAATTTTAAAGAATGTTGGTTAGAATAGTAAAATCAAATACAAGCTAAACTTAAGAGAATAGAAAGTAGTAAAAATTAAAAGAAAAAAGGAAGAGATAGGTAATGCAATAAAGAAAAAGAAAAGAAATATACAGGTAGTAATTGATTTATGACTGGTCACATAATGACTGACCGAAGTTACGAAGGACTCAAAGTTACTTAGGGCCTATCTTTGAAGTTAAGACAGCTGTTCCTTTCGGGTCTAGGATTTTTCTCTCTTACGATTGTTCGACGCTCTAACGAACAGTTCTAAGAGTCTCTTTTCCTGGATTTTCTTCTTTTTTTTTTCCTTTTAAAGTTAGGGTCTAAATAAAAAAAGGGATCTTCTCACCCACTGTTCATCTACATCGCTCCTGCACATTTCTTTGTTGCCTCGGCTGTCCCAGCTTCATGGAGCCATGATGGCTGCCTCTTCTCCTCATTGTGGATGAGAGGGAAGAAGCCCTGAGTCTAGCAGAAGAGTTGCTGCTCTCCGCGACCTACAGGGTGCCCCTTAACCACCCCTAGAGAGTGGCTTTAACTCCTTTCTGAGCCCTCCAAGGGGAGAACTTGGTGCAGGAGCGCAGAGACCCACTCCTCACATCCGATCTCTCTGCAACATCAGCCAGAAGTTGGACTATATGTAGATTTTGACGCACAAGTGATGATCTTAAATGTATTCAATTGTGTCAGTGGAATTGTGGTATCTTTAATAATTGATCTTTGCTCAGCTGTAATGTAACAAATAATAGAGCAGCCAAAGACTGTTTCATAGCTATAGTTGTCATCAATAAGTGTTGTTGCACTTGCACAAACAATAATAGAGCCAATAATGACTCCCTGTGTACCAGTGAACGTACGTACCTCTGCATACCTTTTTGTGAGTGGAGTTTCTTGTGTCCAAACCGACTATGAAATGAAACGTGCAAAAAGTGCCTGTTGTCAAAAGTTGGCTCGAGGCTCATGGTTTAATTAGGGCATCTGTCAGAACCCTGACACCTATAAGAGAAAGAAAACCACGAGATCACATTCACTAATAAATAGAAGAGTTGAATTGCTATTACTTTCTGTTGTGCCACATCTAATTAAGTAATCTTGTCTCATGATGTATAGCTGCCATGATTTTACATGACATATTACCTTGTAAGGTTTTCCTACTGTAAATGGTATCAACTGAACACTTAAAACGATTGGGATTAGTACATGATGTAAATATAAATATTAATACTATTAATACTGTGATTTTGAAAATGTGTGGGCTGAAATTTGCTGTTCTGCAAAAGACTGACTGAAATGAAATAGGAAAAAAGGAATAAATAATTAGTATCCTAAGTAATGATTAATATATTTTACATTAATACCCTACTGGATTTGTGCTTCAGAACAACTTAAAGGCAAAATTTAGCATTAATCACTTTCAGCATAAACAGTTCTATGTCATAGGCTCAGGCTACTCATATTTTGTTGTATCTTATAGTACTTGTTTCAGTTAAACATTTATTACCATTTTGACTTTGTAGTTAACTTAATTCTATGCAATTACTCATGTCTTTAGTTTCTGAATGTTTCTATCTAAATGTACTAATCTATTATATTTTTAAAATTAAGCAGTTTGGAAAATTAAGCAATAATTAGATATTATTATATTTTGTTAGCTGTCAAGTGCAAATCCAGTATACGAAAAATATTATCGTCAGGTAAGTGTGAGCTTATTTTCTTTGCTTTTATTTTAAAATAAAATAATTTCTCATTTGTTTGTTATGGTTAAATGTCTTAAATAGAATAAAATGAACCACTTTTGTAGTTTATAGAGTAAAATAAGCATTTTAACTATGCTAAAAGTTAATTTTATATCTTAGCACAGATGTCTCCAAACTTGGCAACTTTAAGACTTGTGGATTTCAACTCCCAGAATTCCTCAACCAGCATAGCTGGCTGAGGAATTCTGGGAGTTGAAGTCCACAAGTCTTAAAGTTGCCAGGTTTGGGGACCTCTGTCTTAGCACAAAATTAGAGTACAATAGACCTTGTTTCATACCCAGAATAATCCCAGTTAAAACTTTATCATTGCTTAAGAGATTTGTTTGTATACAAAGTTTATCAGTACCAATAGTACTTTATACCCCTGTGAGATTTTTTAGGTTAAATATGCAAGAATTTAAAAAGATCTATTGTTTTGAGAATTATGCCATTTAAATGGCTCAGTGTAAACATTTAATTAAAGTGAGTATAATGTATATAAATTGTTAGCTGTAAAATCACAGAGAATGTTAATAATTATTTGAAAACTAATTTGGGCAGTGAGTCTATTCATATCCTTCTGCTTGCAGTCTCTGCTGTATGCTTCAATTATATTGGCCCTTTCTCTGGACTTTAGAGCAAAGCACAAAGTTACTCTTTCCCCTCCCCCTCCCTTGACTTTTTTATTTGATTTCTTTACCACCCTAGTCCAAGGGATTCTAGGTACTATGCATACAATTATAATTAAAACATTACAAATAATACTTCAGAATAATACAAAATCCAATAAAATTGATACTCTGCAAGATCCTGTGTGGCTCATTTGGAGTCTGGAGACAGTATTAAAAACCAAATTGATAGAAGCTAGTGGCTTTCAGGATACCAGCTTTC